GAAGCACTAGGAAAAGGGTCTGTGGGCACTGATGCAGACCTCAGTGCTAATATAAGCCTCAGCTATTTCATCCCTTAGATCTCTAGACATGCCGCCGCTCCTTCTACCTAAAGAGATCTGTATACACTTAGATCACATAGCCTGAGTTGAGTGGCTCAGAAGAATCTGGCAAGTCTAAGTGATGGGGAAAGTGGAAAGCAATTGATTTGTATAAAAAGTTAGAAACATCAGCATGACTCAAGATGGAATGGAACATGGGTGTTGTTCTGAGGCTTTATGGGAATAGTGCAATGATGGAAAGAAAGCCAATGGCATTCACTACTGTGTCGGCATATACTGACTAAAGTTTTACTTCTACAGTTTTGAAAACTGTGTGCATGATAGCTCAGTAACATTAAGAGATACTAGCTCTCTATCATAAAGATATTTCCATTTATGTGTGTTTTAGGGTTAATTTCACTGTTCCTAGGGACATTTTTTTTAAGTTCTACAAAAGAAAATAATGAGAAAGGGGATTTCCTTAATAGAAATTTGCCTTCGAGAACATTGAGCTGTATTCCATCTGTATGGCTATCTTAATTCAGGTTACTATTGCTGTGATGAAACACTATGACCAAAAACAACTTGGGAAGGAAAGGGTTTATTTTGCTCACAGTTCCATGTAACAGTTCATCTTAAAAAGCACTTAGAGCAAGAACCCACTCAAGTCAGGAGCCTGGAGGCAGGAGATGATGCAGAGGCCATGGAGGGGTCCTGCTTACCAGCTTTCTCAGATTGCTTTCTTAAAGCACCCAGGACTATCACTAGTTAGGAAAATGTCCTACAGGCTTGCATACAACCCATCTTATAAAGGCAATTTCTTAATCAAAGCTTCCTCCTCTCTGATAACTCTAGCTTGTGTCAAGTTGGCAATAAACTAGCCAGTACAAAGGCTAAGTATATAATTACCTATAAAGCCAAAAACTGTTTTTTCTACATAAAATAACCATCCACAGCTTCAGTTCAGAATGTTGTGTTTTCCATGAACTGTACCTGGGTCCCCTGTGTCTCCCCTGTTTATACATAATACAGATAAGTGCCCTGTTCCAAGTTCCTTTTTAGCAAGGAAACAGTTTTCCGGGTTACATAATCCTGTTAGGAGCAGTGGAATAATTATAGCACTTTTCATTTCAGGAGAGTTAGTCTTCTACAGCATCCATCACTCAGCAATTTCAACAAGAAAAGTATTGTGTCCGTCAAGAATGATGAAGTTACATAAAAAAAATAATACTCTCTTGAAAGTAGGAACCAGAGAATAGTTTCTAAATAAAGATGAAAATCTGTGTCATGTATTTAAGGATCTTTCTTAGGTGAACAATATACACATTATGGACACAATAAAAGCAGTTCCTTCAGACATTGCTGGGACAGTCTGTGTGTCTCTGGTGAAAATCGTCATTTGAGCTGTGGGTAGTTGCTGCGTAAATAGGGAGGGTACCATTCTAAGCACAGAGGACCCAGAAAAATAAGCACGTGGGAAAGACCAGCTTTCTTCCTGTATTCCTTTATCACGCGTGTGTCACTAGCTTTAGAAGTGACTTGCAGGATACTGTGTCCCCTTTAAAGAAACTTCCTTGGGCTTCTATTCTACTTTATATTCAATGTCAGCTTGTGAGGGAATTCAAATTTCAATGTACTTGATTTTATCCCTCTTTAATGACTGTTCAAGGTCTCTGCCAGCTAGTGTCCTGTTTAGAGAGCTACCTTAACTCCACTGCTGGCAGATTCCCTCAGAAGGGAGACTTTCCATTTCTCTTATGCAGACAAGAATATGACAGATAGTTTTGAATCAAAAATATATGACTCAAGCCCACAAAAGTGACTGTATACTAATCACATAGAAGCTTCAAATTAATGTTTCAGAAACATTCTTTAATGGGCAAGTGTCCCAAGTACCTAAGAGATTAGCAGAGAAGTGACCCAGGGTCCAGAGGGCAGTGGCAAGAATTGTTTGTGCCATACTCTGTTGCTATTCCATGTCATAGACCAGAGATGTTTTTGTGGCTTTGGGCATCTTCCCCAAGATGGACAAGGAGGAACTTCAAGTTTATTTCTGTTTTACAAACAGAAGCCATGTGATGTGAGTCCATGATTGACTATACAGAGAAGGTACCTGGTGTCCCCCATAGTGAGGGCATTAGGTTGGGGACACTGGTTGTATTAGCTTTTGGTTTCTGTAACAAATATTGAGACAAATCAACTTAGTAGATGAAGATTAGCTTAGCACACAGGTTTGGGGTTTCAGTCTATGAGTAGGTCTATAGATTGGGTCTTATGACAGTACATGACATATTGACAGGGTGCAGAGTACTGGAGGTCTATTCACCTTGGAGAAGAGGAAGATCTAGGATACAAGTCTTCCTTTTGCAGCATGCAACAAGAGGACATAAGATCCCCCACTACACCTCTTTCAGGGTTCATTATTGTCTTATAGCATTAAAGTAAGAACTAAATCTTAACTAAATTATCTTTCGGGAGCAGTGCAGATCTAAACAGGAATATGAGTTCATTTCATTGTATCTGCAGTGGTCTGATCATCAGAGTAGATTCTGATTGCTCCAGAGAAGGTAAGAGACCTTCATTGCCTTGTTTCTCCAGCAAAGTGACATGGTCTGGGCTCCTGAGAATGAATGTTCCACCTCTTCTGCTTGGATGCCTAATATTACAGAGCCAGGGCTCTCTCACAAGCCTCTTTTCTTGGACAGAAGGAACAGAGAAACAGGGAGGGAAGACCTTTTGATTTGTTTGTCACTTTCTTAAAATGTCCTCATTTTCGGCAGCTGTTACACACAATGTCTTCTTGTTCTTTTTGCAAAATCATCTATGCTTTCCCAAAATATGCTGTACGCTCTGTACCTTTTGGGAAAATGTATTTTAAAGGAAAAAAAAATCTCCATTGGTAACCTAGAAATACAACTGTTGACACTACTGGTTGTTTTCAACATTGCTAAATTAGCTAGAATTTTGGTAAATGTATCTACTATATCGTCTTCTTTGATTTCCTAGTGTGGGTGGTTCCTTAATCTGTGTTCACTGATGCCTTCACACACAGATCTTTTCAGTGTGACTTTCTGACCCACATCACAGTGAGATGGAATGCACTGCATCAAATTTTTCATCTCTGAACAAACTGAAGTCATCCAACTGCAAAATGCATACTGCACCTGCAAAACTCAGTGTCAGAATCATGCATTAATGATGGGTGCCTTGTGGCAGTGTTAGCCCCTAGGAGCAGCCCAAATGGGTGGTATAGGTACTCACAGAGATAAGAAAGGTTCTTCCCTACCTGAAGAAAACAATGAAACTCCCCCATGCAGTCATCCTAACACTGAAGTGTTAACAAGAAAAGACAAGAGTCTGGAAGTGTAACAGCACATGTACAATTGATTCTGATGGATACATTCAGAAAATTTCAATGACATTTCAATACACAGTAAGGGAACAACTGGATATCCATTTGGAGAAATAGTAAACTTGGACCCCTACTTCATACCAGAAATGGTCACTTGAGATAGACCCAATCTAGGAATTACTCAACACACATGAAAACATTATCACACAAAGATTCATTCAGTAACATTTACAGTAGCTTTCTTCAAAATGCTTAAGAAAAAAATCATCAGAACAGCATTAATAGGAGAAGAGATACACACATGGTGGTATGTGCACACAGTGGAAAACTACTGTCAACAGGGAATAACTAGGTATCAGATATGAAAGATGATGCTCAAAGGCATTATACTGAATGAAAGGAACTATCCAAGAGATTAGTTGCTGTATGGTTTCATTTATTTGCATTTAAAACTAGATCCAACTGACTTATGCTGTCAGAAAAGAGAAATCACTCTCTCTAGCCCAACTGTAAGGAAGTAAAAGAGAAAAATTTGCAAAGATGTAAATGTCTATTCTGTAGAAGTTTCCGCAAGATTAAAACATTCATCTAGGAGAAAGGAGCTTCTTAACACAATGTTTATACATCAAAGTAAAAGAAAGAACAGGTGAAATAATCCAACCTGTGAGGGAGCTCATTAAGCTCAGAAGTAAATACCAGAAAACAGCTTCAGGAAGTTCCTGAAACAGACCAGATTAACTAGGCTTCTCTCTACCCAAGCTCATATAACAGTAAGGATAACTGAAGGATACTCTCAGACCTGCTGAGCTACCGAAAAGAAGCAGACAACAGTCAAAGTGTCTGGAAGAGGCTCAAACCAACTATGCTTCCTGGAAAGGGCATTCTCCAACCTGTTAAGCTGACTGCAGGTTGTATAATGTGCTCCAGATTTCCATCTTCTGTGAGTTGTCACCCATACTAGGGTGGCTTTGGTAGCTTAGCTGGTTTTGAATCATTTCTGTTCCTTTTAAGTAACCTCTCACTCATATTCCTGTAACTAAATCTATTACAACTTACTGGCTCACCCAGATGGACTTTGGTGGTATCCATACTTGAGTCTATCATCAGTTCCCTATTTGGGGTAAGCAGATATTTTTCTGGAGGAATAGTGTCAAACAACAATATCCTGTGTCTCTATGAGAGTGAATGTATTTGTCAGAACTACAAATTGTGCACCTATAGTAATTGAGTTGAGGGCACACTGGTATTCAGGTTCTAAGACCCCTTCCCTATAAAAAAAAATCCCCCAAAACAAAACACTGACCTGATTTCTTCTTAACTAAAAATCAGAGTCATACTGATTATTTTGACATTTCAAGAGAGAATAATTTGGAGCCGGGCTCCTATAGATGAGGAAATTGTTGTTTGTACTGTCAAAGACAAAAATACCATATCAGATAGTTCTAAAGCATGCCAGTGAGAAAACACCATTGCCTAGGTACAGTGATTTCATTGACACTCCACAGGACAAGCAAGAGTCTGACAAGCTACTCATCACTGAGGGACGGAGAAGAAAAGCAGTCGCAGTTTCTGGTGAGGTTTTGCATTACAATGGCCCAAGAACACTTACATCTGCTCAGCCCACGGTGGACAGCATCAGTCATTTGTTCCTGCGGTCACCCTGTGAAACAGATAACTTGTAAAGCTATGTGGTAATGGAGAACACTGGCAGAGAGGTCATCAGCTGTATCCAGGCCACACAGTAATAAATGAAGGAAGAAATTAAAATTGAAAAGTAGAAAAAAATGTTATTCTAGTTTGCTTTTCTGTTGCTGTGGTTAGCTTATTATCATACAGGGAAGGAAAGAGCTTATCTGGCTTGTATTTTGAGTAACAGTTCTTCATTAGAGGACATGAGGACAGGTACTCAAGCAAGAAGTAAAGCAGAAACCAGGAAGGAGTGCTGCTTACTGGCTAGCTCACTGGTACGTGTTTAGCCTACTTATTCAGACAGCTGGGGCCAACCTACCTAAAGGATGATGCTGTCCATAGTGGGCTAAAATCAAAACAGTCTTTCACAGATATGAGATTCTCTCTTCCCAGGTGACTCTAGGTTGTAACAAGCTGACATTAAGAACTAACCAGGACAAACAGTTTAAGCCCAAGGAAGCAAACTACAGTCTAAATATTTCAATATCCAAGAAGAAGCCTTGAAAATAACTGCATTCAGCAGTCAGATGTGCCCACATACAAATACAGGCACCTGTGTGTGTGTGCCTGTATGTGCACGAGTACCAGCATGCATATGCATTAAAATGTCCACCAACTCTCTGGGGCCTCTTATAATTGATCTCACTCCATTTCTTTACTTACATCAATAGCTTGTATTTAAGGTTGTAACAGAAAAGAAATGCCTGAAGGAATCTATCAGTCTACCACCTCAAGGCCTAAAAATTGGAGGAGAACCCTGTAGGCTACCTACCGACTACACAGCAGGTGCTATGTAGGCTACCCATTGACGACATAGCTAAGTGTTGTCATGATAGTGAATTTGCTTTTAACATTAGTGTACATAAATCAAGCAGTAATTAGATTTCACAGCACTGAACAAGATCAGTTTGTCAACCTCCTGCACCAGCCACAGGCAGGGAAGACAAGAGTACAAGTGTCTTTGTATTGAGCCTGGTGTTCAGCCTTAGTCCTACAGTTCAGGACTAGAGAGAGGTGCAGAAAGTCACAGAGCTCAAGAACCCATACTATGTGGCAGTAAGGGTTGGGATGGGATGAACAGAAGGCTGGGGGAGGGGATCTGACTTGGGCACAACAAAACATGACTACAAAGGATCACATCAGTTCAAAGACTACAGTGGTGTGAAAATGAAGGAGCTTATAAGAAAATAAATGTTGCAATCATCACAGATGCAGGCATAAGACATGTATACATGACACACATACAGAGGAAGCAGAGTGAAATAAACAACCGTATCATTTTAGTCAAAGCAAATCCAAGTTTAGGACATAAACATATCACCTTGGACAGCTCATATAGGAGGCTGAAGCACATAAGTGCATACATGAAATACACCCTCATGAGGATTTTACTTTTAAATATTATCAAGTTCTGTGAAATGAAATCTAATTTTTTAAAAAGTTTTAGGCAATACTTATTAAACCTAGGGCCATGTACATAACTAGGCAAGCACCCTACCCCTAAAGTATATCCCCAACCTTCTTCTTACTTCTTAGAGACCAAGTCTCATTAAGTTGCCTTTGAACTCGCTCTGTTTCCCAAGCTGGTCTTATGTTGCACTTCTCTTGTGCCCCCCTTCCCCGGTGGTAAGATTACAGACCTTTACTGCTTTAGATTTTCGAAAGTTGTATGTTATGGTCTGAGGATTGGAATACTTTTCATCAACAACCACACAGCAATTGTTTCAGGTCATTATAATATGAAACCATCTTCATTTAAGGCCTAAATAAATGATCATATATGCATGTTAATAAAATTTTAGCTGTATAACAGAAGAGTGGATCTTTCCCAAAGACCATAGCTTGCCAACCAGTAATGCAGATGAGACTAAAACATTAAACAAACTTCAGCCTCCGGTACATATAGAAACTGAAACTTCAGAGAAAGAAAACAAAATAGAGACATGTAACTGTCTGCATCCAAATGTACATTAGACACAGGAAGTTTCAGGTCATTGCTAATTTTCAGCACGCAACAGGAGATGTATTGTGTGTATTTTTTCCCACACAAAGCCTGTGAGCAGGTGCTAATGTGGATCACAACTGAAGACAGTACATATCCTGCAAGTGATCCAAGGTTTCAGAAAGAGTGCTACTTGCAAGAGGATGGCTCATCTGCCTGGAATCAACTTTCAACTGGCCCAGTGCACACTGAAAAGAAAAAAGTCAGATCTATTACTTATGAGACCAATTCACTTAACCTCAGGAGGGCACTGAAAATATCACGCTTTGAAAAACACATAAAATAATAAGGGGACCAGAGGAAAAATAGGGGAGATCCTTCCCAAATGGCATAATATGGGGTTGGGTGGGGCATGCTCACAATCGAAAGAAAAGAGTAGTTAAAACACAGTCTTTACAGGAGAAACAGCACATGCCATACACATAACCACCATACTGACAGGCTCACCTATCCAAAGCATGGGCCTCCTAGAACTGCACCTACCACTTTCTTTAGAATACCACACCATATAGTACATTGCAACACACATCTGTCCCAATCTTGTTTTACTGCCCTTATTAGAAATTCCAAGTGTCCTCTCACTGACACATGGCTCAGGAGGACAGGACCTTGTCTCTTTCTGTTGCAGACATGGCTTTCAGGGCAATGCTTGGAAGAACAAGCTCTCATAAATACTGTTGGGATCAGTGTGTGTCATATATTAGGTATCTTTTCCACAGTATTGGGACCTAACATTTCTCTCTTCAGGATGAGGATGGCTGCGCCCACTTTCTACTGCCGTGGAACACTTTTGCTTAGTATAAAAGATGACATTACATGTTGGCCTTCCCATGGCAACAGAGCAAAGGAGTTTTATTTTCACTTCAAGTTCCCCTGTGAACATGGAACATTTTAGCCAACTATGTGGTGAGAATTCTACATTGAGTATTTGGAAGCCAGCATTTTACTCTTACATAAAAACAGATGTCTCTACTCTCATGTTCTCAGGCTCCAGATATTTTTTTACTGTATGTTTTAAATTAAAAAAAATTATTGAAATAAGAGAAAGAGCAGGAAGTAAAATTATAACTTCCTTTGAATATAAATTCGGGGAGACTCACAGGACTGTGATCAGGTGTGTTTGCAACAGAGAGGCATGGGTGTTAAAAACAATGCACAGCTTATCACTACAGTAAACAGTACCAGTGAGACAGAGGTCACCTCATTTGCAGCAGTAACACTTTTCTGCAACAGGTAAGGAACAAAGTAAGGCCGGACACCATAAAATGAAATACAGCTCCTTGTAAAATACACAATAGGCATCTATGGACCCATATATCTCTGGCTGACACCTTCTATGAAGTGATTTCAAAATGTAAATATGAGTAAAGCAGTACCCAGGAACCTACATGGATGTTCCATACTGAATTCACCCATGGTTGCCTAACAGCCCACCTGGAAATCCGCTCCGTGTTCTCTGACAAAGACTACTCCTGCAGCAGAGTCTCTAGAAAGCAGCCAGACTCCTTCCTATGTCTCTAACTCAGCTTCTTTTCTTATGAGCTCTATTAATAACAATGTCCCTCCAATGCATTCTAAATTGCCCTTGTTGGTGATGCCAGCACATTTACTTCTAAATTCTTGGCCATTTGCTGCTTCTGGCCTCTTCTCATTTATCCTCACTAGTGTCTACACCAAACCCGTGTTTGGCAAGTCTTTCTTTGATCACCAACTCAGGCTGGCTCCCCATAGCCTGTCTTGTTAAGTTTACTGTTCTTCCTGGAATGGGTTCTGCCTGTTGACAACAAACCCAGGCTAATCCTTTCACCTGGTCCAGTCTGGGTTTGATGTTAAGTATGTGGCTGCATGTTTGACTCCAGGCCTCATCTGTCTACTACTAACCCAGGGACAACTGACCAAAATATACAGATGAGTGAACGAAAATCATAAGCTCAAGTCCCCTAGTCCTGATAAGTAACAATAATAACAATGTACAGGAAGTACTACTTTTCTTTCCCATAGAAAAACTGTTAGTTTAGGAAGAAAAAATATACATTAAAAGTAGACTGAAACATGTTTAAAGTGATATAGTTATGATGGTTCAGTGTATGATGATCACATATTCAAGAGGGGACCCAGTACTCCTGCAGTTGTAACAGTGTGTTAGCACAATATAGTAGTGTGCTTGTGGCACAGTGCTAGTTGCAATGAAAACAATACAAACACTGCTGGGCTGGGCACTATTCTTGATGAGAAATGACTGTTGATGGCATATGCACTTTCCTTGCCAGGACTGGGATTAAACGTAGGGGCTTCCACATGCTAGGCAATTTCTCTAACACTGAACCACATTTCAGACCTTTAAAATAATCTTTTATATCTTTTTAATTAGAGAGAAGGTCTGGATAACTTAAGCAGGCTGATGGGTAAGCTGCAATCATCCTTTTGGAGTATACAGGATCAAAAAACATATTATGCTTTTTGTCATTATGATTGACTTCTACAGGTATCTTCATTAGATAGTTAATATATAGCTTCAACTGACAAACTGCAAACAATCTGCTGTGTTATTTTAGAAGTAGCTTCACACATCTGCTGACTGTGTCACTGGATTGCATCGCAAGGCCACGTGACTGCTAGCCTCGCCATTTTCATCTCTAAGTGTACCACATGATTCAGACAGGATTACACAAGGACAAACTTCTTACAACGAGTGAAGCATGACTATTTGAGCACCCAAGTAAATCTGGCAATCCCCAAGCATTTTAGCTGAACTTTCTGGGAAGGCAGAATTCTTACATGACCATGATTTCCCACTCTCCTGTGTTCACCTGAAAAAAATGCCCTGAGACAGTAACTACCAGGATTTACATTAAAAGCTAGTCTGCAGAAAAAGATACAGGACAGGCCCAGGCCAGGATCACAAGCTTTAAAACAGTTCTATCTGGTTGGTGACATATAAGAAAGCACAGAACCCTGAGCTCTGCAGA